CTGCTCCACAGGAGCAAGTAAAGGAGTAGATACACATGGAGGTGGTCTGAGTTGGTAACCTGTCCTTGCCTTTCCCGTGTAAGACCTGGTTAGTTGAGAATAAAACCCAAACTCTAGCTGCTGGAAAGGTTCGTGATACAGCTATGTCAAGGCGTCTTTTCAGGAGTTCACCTGCCGCGTCTCCTCGAAATGGCACTTTGAGAAATAAGGTTTTCTTCTCCACAGTAGGTGTCGTGGATTTTATTTATTTGGGAGCCATATTCTTGGTAATAAATCTCTCAGGAGATCCGTTCTCCCAGAGTAAGTCCTGGATTTTCTTGAGTTCCTCTTCAACAGTGTCTTCTGAGCAAATTTTTCTAGCTCTTTGCTTCAAGCAGCGAACTAGATTTCACTTCTGTTGGAGGGTAACTTTTTGTTGCTGCTTTTAATGTTAATCAATAGCAAAACCCAAAAGGCAATGGAATTTAATCTTTGGAATTAAAAGTATATCCGAAAGCCTTCAATTGCATCAAAATCGTGCGTGCATTTTTTTCAGTAAGCGAGATTCCCAATGCAGTCTTCTAAAATAAAGGGCTTCCTGTGCGTCAAAGCAATTAAACACACAAAACTACAAACAAAAAATGTATACCGAAGTACTCGTTCAAATGTTTGCTTGAAGCTAGCGATTTCCCATTCCCATAGATATCTTTAAATTCATTAATCACCTCTGGTTCCTTAACCTGAAACTGAAAAACGCAGAAACACGAAATTTCCTCGGCATGAACACATGTATGAATGGGAAGCCAGTAGTTCAGCATCAACAGGCCGAAACAAGCATAAAATTAATCAGATTACCGGCATATTGCTGCACACATCGTTCAGATGATTAAAGTTCACACCTGAAGGGAATTTAGTTGGCTGCCGGGATCAGTGTTTGGCAAAAAAGGGAAATGGATGGAATGCGTAGACCCAGTGGTTTCGATCGGTAGACTGTGTAGGAGCTTCAACTGTGTGAATTGTGGACCTTGTAGCCTTGCAGCCTATTCGCACATTGACTACCTTATGCTTTAAGACCTCCAGTTCCAGATATTTAGGCCGCCGTCTGAAATTGAAGAGTTGTGGCTGATAAAACGAAATCCAATGGCTATTCAGGACCGGCCAAGTATACCTCCATATCAGGTTAACATTACTGGAATCATCGACCAAGTTCACTGGATGGCAAATCACTGATTTTAAAAATAACTAATTGGCTCATTTGCCGTTGTATTTAATCAGCTGTTGGAGTGGGAGATCTGGAGTTGAATTCTAATTGTGAAACGTTTTCTCAAATTACCTTCTCCGTCAAAATCGAAAAGTATCGTTTCAGTCAGTTTACAGTTTAGTGCACGGAACTAATTCCCTTTACATCGGGGAGTACAAACACTTTTCAGCTCCTGTAAGGGAGAAGGATTGCTATAAATGTATTGTCTTCAATACTTCCTAGCAATTGTATTGTCATGCTGCTCTTTTCCTTCCTTTCTCTCTCTATCGCCGAAATATTAGTGCTTATTTCATGCTCCGATACAGTATGCCAATTCATATTTTTTATGAATACAATTGTCTCATTTATTTCTACCAGTATGTATCTGTACACTTTGAACAGAAATAATGGCGAATATTGCCCTGCCGGTAACTAAACACCCAGAATTCTGTTGTAAGGAACCTGTGGTAATAGAGTTTATACGGATGGACCGATACGGTGACGCAGGATAGAAAATATGAGAAACATATCCTAAAAACAGGAAATAGCATATAAAATTATCACAAAAGATAATATACAGCAACAAGAAATGCGATGGTTGAAAAATGAAACAGAAATAATAAATCAAGTAGTTTAATAAATACACTGAGGAACTTAAATGAAAATAAATTACGATTAGCACCAGTCACGTTGTACGGAATTCTGGGCTTTAATTTCTCGGTTGGGTCCTAAAAATTAACCACTTAATTGGAGTAAATCCCTTATACTTATGCTTTGTAGGCGCAGACTAAAACTATAGATGAATACCACCACGGCCATAGTAATCACTAAAGTGCCAATAGGTGACGCGTAGTAAATTTTTAAGTGACACAAGTTACACGATATTGTCGGAAAAAATGCTACCTAAATGCTCAGACACGTGTTTTGCCTAGTATTTACCGGAAAGCCCATGATGAATGCTCGGGAGCCCACTGCCGAGCCTAAAGCCACACAGTTGTGTTATGCAGCGACAGAATATCAGCTAAACATGTTCCTGCGTTCTTATCTAGTGCATCTGCTGGCATTATGGTGATGACGTAGCCTCTAAGGGTAAATATTCAGATATGATTAAAGGTAAGTTCAACAATTATTCAATAGAAAGATTTTGGTTACTTAGTTGC